CCGTTCGGCGCCTGCAACTGGGCGTGATGCCGCTCTACGAGGGCCTGGGCAGCGGCGGGGAGAAGACCGCGGTGGTGATAGATCTGGGCGAGGCCTTCACCAAGTGAGCGGCGCCTGGGCCCGGCCGGGGGGGTTGGTGATTCCCCGGGGGCAGGACGGGCCCATTCGGGGCTGGGGAGGGGGACGCCCTCTGGGTCGTACCATGACTCGCTGTGGGGCAGGGCTGGAGGGGTGATTCCCCCACGTCACATTAGGACGAGTCCATTCGGGGCTGGGCAGGGGACACCTTCTGGGTTGTACCATGACGTGCCATGGGGCAGGGCTGGGCGCTCAGTGGCCTTGACAGCAGGAGGGACCCATGGGGTCAGGGGGCACCCTCTGGGTCCTACCATGACTGCTGTGGGGCAGGGCTGGGCTCTGTGGCCCTGACTTGGGGGGTGATTCCCCCAGGTCACAGCAGGATGGGCTTATTCAGGATTAAAATGAAACACCACTAATATGTGCGTATACAGAGAAAGAGAGAGAGTGATGTTCCATTTTAATCATGGGAAAACATGGATTTTCGGTTACTTTTTTTAAATCCAAAAATTGGGGATTTTTTTTAAATTGGAGAAAACCACTTGGAGCCACGTGCAACCTGCCGTGCTGTTGGCGGGCCTTGCCGACTAGGTTGCAGGCAGGGCAGGGTCTGCGTGTGGCCAGGCTCCGCCGCTGGGGTCTTCGTGGCCCCCCAAGCTGCAGCTGCGGCAAAACACGTGCCGCGTCGCCGGTGGTGGATGACTGTTCGATCGCTGGCTGCGTCGAGTGGCGGGCTGCAGGAACGTATGTGGCTACCAAGGACGCTGCCACATGGCTCGGGGATGACGCACACGCCGAGTGACCCACTGGCCGCCTGCGCGTGGCGAGGAAAAGATTCGCTGTTTGTTAAACCGAGCTAGTTAACGTCATTCGAAACGCTGCTTAGCACCCGCTCGAGACGAGCTCTCGACTTGGCGATTCTCACCCAGCGGCGCCTCGAGATTCTTCCCAGGACGCCGCGTTGACAGCGTCAGCACTGTTAGGTTTGCAAGCGTGGCCGTCTACCCAGGATCGCTTGCGCGTATATTAACAACATTTCGTGGAAGCAGGATGCGGGTTGCTGTGGTTCCTCTGCTTTACCTGTGGCAGGGGCGGGCAATTAGTTCGGGCGGTGGGCTGCTTACGGAGTTTTGGCAAGCCGTCGAGGGTTGCATGACAGGCAGCCAGGGGTAGATAAATATTAATTTTCTTAATTTTGTAGGGGCCCCGCGGGCCGGGTAGAATGGCCTGGCGGGCCAGATCCAGCCCACGTGTCACATTTTGCCCACCCCTGGGTTAGGGTGTTAGGTCAGTGCTGTGTCAGGGCTGACAACAATCTTACGGAGAGGTTAGATGATGGATTGTATAGGATGGTTTGGATGGTCCGGCCTGAGGCAGGGGGTTAGACCCGATGACCTCTGGAGATCCCTTCCAGCCCTGACGTCTTTGTGATTTTAAGATAAGCCCAGAGATTTCAAACAGAAATCCACAGTGATGGTCTTTCTGAGTTTTTTGCAACAGAAAAGCGGTTCTGTTATTTTTCTGAATTCAAAAAGGAGTGAGAAATAACACCTAGCATTTTCTGAGGGATGTCTCAAGTCTATCCAGGACTGCCTCAAGTCTAAAAAGGTTGATAGCTACTGTGTTAGCTAGTTCTTAAGGGGGTGAGGGGGGGAAAAAAACCCAAAAAACCCTTTTCCCTGGTCTAGTTAAAACCCAGGTGTAAATAATACCTGAATGTGTTCTCCGTATCAAAATGCCAAGACAAAATATTGATTGCCCTCCTTACTGATGCTTTATGTTTGCTTTACTCCTTCAAAAATAACAGCAGTTAAAAAATTGCGTGCGTTTAAGTGGATACCCAGTGCTGGACTTCTTTAAAAAAGAAAATATCTACTTTCAAAAGCATCAATGGAGGGTCAGAAAAGTACTGCTACTTATTATTTTGCCCCCTATCCTCCACTAGAAAAAAATTGTGGGAATGAAAACAGAATGTTGTTCCTGCAAATGGTTAAGCACATTAAAAAATGTTATTCATACACTGATTTCGGTGACCTGTTTAGAGAAGTAATTTGTGTTTCTCTGAGATTGAGGCATCAAGCCCTATATCAAACTGGTTGCTGTATTTATGGTCCTCCTGAATTAGGTCCACTCCTGTGGTCACCGCCATATTGGCAAACACCTACAAACACACCTGTTGATACCGATGGGTGTTATATTGATTTTCATATCAGTTTGAACTAAATTTTTGAATGATTGCATAGGACTTAAAAATCTAAGGCCTTAAAACTAGTGGTCAAACCCCTAAAGATGCAAGTATATGTGATGTGATTATAGTAAAAACTTAACAAAACTTTGACACACATGAAAAAAAAAAATCAGATTGTGAATTACAGCTAGTTTTTCCTTTAGTAGTTTTTCTTCCCAAAACTGATTTAAGAAAATCCTGAATGCATTCCTGGTTCAGGACAAAATATTAATGGATCTCTTTAATTACTTTGCACTTTCAAAGTCCAGTGGATTTCTGGTTGTTTTTAAAGCTCTCCGTGTAAGGGCGTTTGATCTCTGAGCTATTTCAAAAGGAGTAAAGCATATGTAAAACACCAGTCTTTTAAAACTTTCTGGTTGGATGATCAGAGGTGGGAGCTAATCCCTTGGTACTGAATGAAGATGATAAAAGTCAAGTGGAGATGAGCATGACAAGCTGTGAATGTGAAGGGAATTTTCTTTGTTGCAGTAGAGAAGACATAATCAGTGAAGTGATATAAAATCCTGCTAATTTGAACTGACTGCATAAATAAATCATATATAAAACACCCCTTAGACTTCAAAATTATTTTAATTATATTAATGATCAAATTCCCGTACTCTTTGAGATGCCAGGTTAATAATGTATAGGCAGTTCTTAAACTTGAATTACGTATGAATTCTACAACTTTTAAAAGTGTTTGCTTTTTTTTTTTTTTCCAGATGTGGGTTTGCAGGAGAGACGGGACCAAGATGTATTATTCCTAGTGAAATAAAGAGATCTGACACAGCCAAGGTGACGCTCTTTAAAAATGTGCTATTGGAAAAGCTTTACTAATTCAATTATTTGTGGTTTTTATTACTTTTAAGCTTTGACAAGAATATATAGCCTGTTCATAAATGTTTTGCCTTTTCCATTATTAATCACGATTCATTATCTCTTTGGTGTTTTGTAATTGAGACGTTTTAATCAATTGCTTTGAAAATTGGCCTCACTGAGGACAATTATGGTTCTGTCATATGAACAAACAGCTGGTTAATATGGCTTGTGCAGATGAAAGGTTTGCTGGACTTGTCCACAAGCTAGAAATGTCAAGCTATATGGTAACTAGTAGGGAAAAGTTTTCAAGGTGTTGGTGTTCCCATTGTGGTTCTTGCAATTCCTCTCACTGTCCTTGTCCCTCAGGACATTTCCTTTTTCTCGTTCAGCATTACTGACAGGGCAGGGCTCCAGTCCTGGACGGTGTTCACTCAGTGGGGGCTCCCTGTCAACACAGTGAATCACCTGGGCAGAGCAGGGAAGCACCTGGTGCTGTTGGAGTCATAGCAACATAAAAAGAGGAGGAGTGGTCATTTAAGTCATCATCAAATTAATCAGTTATGCTGCAATCCTGCAAAGTGAAGATGTGCGCTTAACTTTGCACATAGTATGTATCATCCTCTTGAACAACTTATGACTCCCAGGGCATAAGGTTAAATTCTTATGTAAACCTTTGCAGGTCTGGAGCCTTATGGTATTTGTCATGCGAGTGTCCATTGTAGGTCTCCGGGGTGTCACCAGTGTTGTCAGGGCAAGCTCTGTCTGTTGTTTAGGGGTTAGGCATTACCAGTCATGTCAGGATCCCTCAGTTAGCATGCACACATACCATACCATCAGGATAGTCTGTGATGCCATGCCTTTAATTAGCTCATTATTCCAAGAAAGAGACCACAGGCTTCATTTTTTAGTAACAAGAACTCAGTCAGGTTTATTTTCCATAAACGAACCTAGACACTAGCATCCATGACTAACTGGTACATGGTGCTAACTAGGTCATTTGCAGGCATGAACGTAACCATTAAGCTCAGTACAAAGTGTTAAGGGTTCCCAGGCGCCTTTTTATACATTGTTCAATATAACTCTGTGTTCCCAGCATACACATCCTAGTTTTCATCAATTCCTAAAACATATTTAGGTGATATCTTCCACTTCCTATTTCTCATCAGTTAATGCAGGGGGCTGGGTGGTGTGGGCACCAAGGTGCATGGTTGACAGCCCGGAGGTCACAAGTTTGAAGCCGCAGCAGAAATGTGAATTCTGCTAAATACCTTGTGACAAGGACACAAAAAGGAAGAACCAGTTAGTGCAACCGTCTTATCAGACATCGACACCTGTGGCCAAGTCACACTAATCTTTCATAGATTTCATAGGCATCAGGGCTGGAAGGGACCTCAGAAGATCATCAAGTCCAGACCCCTGCCCCAGGGGCAGGAAGTCAGCTCGGGTCAAAGGATCCCAGCAAGATAAACATCCAAATGCCTAGATTTCATTGGCGATGTGTAGGGGATGCATGTGCACCCCCTGAGATTGGCAGTGCACCCCCTGAGAGAAGCGCCACCGATGGTGCTTGTGGGAGGTTACCGCTCGCCACCACCATGCCACCACCACCACTGACACTGCCAGTGGACAATCACCATTCCCCCCCCAGCCTCTGGGGGCACATATCGTTCATGATAGATTTTCAGGGTTGGAAGAGACCTCAGCAGATCATCAAGTCCAGCCTCCTGCCCCGGGCAGAAAAGAGCACTGGGGTCAGACGACCCCAGCTAGGTGTTTGTCCAGTCTCCTCTTAAAGACCTCCAAGGTAGGGGAGAGCACCATCTCCCTTGGAAGCCCATTTCAGATTTTGGCAGCCCTTACGGTAAAGGATTTCTTCCTGGTGTCTAACTTAAATCTGCTCTCTGTCAGTTTGTGGCCATTGTTTCTAGTTACTCCAAGGGGTGCCTCGGTAAACAGAGTATCTCCTATTTCTTGCTGACACCCCACCCCTGACATATTTGTAGATGACCACCAAATCCTTTCTCAGCCATCTTTTATGGAGGCTGAAGAGATCTAGGTCCCTCAACCTCTCTTCATAGGACCTATCCTGCAGGCCCCTAATCATACTCGTGGCCCTCCTCTAGACCCTTTCACGGTTATCCACATCCCTCTTGAAGTGCGGTGCCCAAAACTGAACGCAGGCTTCTGCTGAGGCCTCACCAGTGCTCCATAGAGGGGAAATATCACCTCCCTGGACCTGTTCGTGATGTGCTTGTTAATTCATGATAGAGTGTGGTTAGCTCTATTGACCATTTCATCACGTTGCCGACTCATGTTCATTTTTGTTTTGGTGTTCTCCACTGATTTCATCAGTTCACTTGTCTTTTGGCCTTGGAGGCTCCTCTAAAACTAATGAGCTACTTTTCCAGCACTTCTGCACATGTCATATATCCTGTGCCTAAGTTTCTATTCATTGGGACCTATGTCAGTTCATGCTGTTAGTAGGGCTTCAGTGTGATTTGTATGTGCACGGACCGGTGGTTATATTAGTCCATACTCAAGCAAGACCTACATCCATGTTACTAGAATTAGTGTGGGTTGGTCCATTAGGTAATCTCTACAGATCTCTTTGAGACACTAAGTGGGGAACTTCCTCTGCCTGTGCTAGCTTTTTCCTTTGAGGGAGGACATAAATCTTCACAACTGTCATTTTGGCTCCTTTCCTTTGCATTAAAATGGACATAGATCAGTTTTAAAAGTACTTTTCTTTAAAATTTCAAGTAAGATCATTTCTAGGATAAAGTTATGATGAGAGATCTATTTGGAAACTTTTCCTATTGTTTGATCAGTATACCTTTTTGTCTTGAATTTAAACTGGTTATAGATATTTATTATTTTTTGCAGCCTATCAAAGTTGTTCAACATCATATTAATACAGAAGAGTTGTATTCATATCTGAAGGAATTTATTCACATGCTGTATTTCAGGTAAGAGATATTGGGATATTCTTTTTCTTCTGATCAGTAGCTTTTGTTGAGCTTCTCTTTAAACATGCTGCAAAAGCAATCTGTTTTCAAGGGTACTCAGGAAAAGCTGAGAAGGAGTTTCCTAAATGACGAATAGGTAGCAAGTGGTTTTTGGTAGGAGGCCAGCTGGTTAAATTCTTTCAGAAGCAGTTATTTATTGTTGCCAGTATTTGAACTGAATTTCACTGTCAGGGCATCTACCTCCTTTGAAGCAGATGCCTTCTTACTTTTAAAACAATCTAAATACACTGACTTAATTGTGACTGTCGCATAGGACTTGATGCTGCAAATCATTACTACATGAATATTCAAAGTCTGAGATTTGCTGTCTGCTGAGTGGAATCTTGAACAGAGTCCTGAAGGATTTTGCCACCTGAGTACAACATATCTGTGTTCACAGAAATAATCTTTCTCTCTCCTTGCCCTTAGTGCAAACTAGCTCTCTGAGCTCAGTTGTGATGCTTTGGTTTCCTGTGTTCCATTTCCGTACTCAGGAATACTTGACTTCTCTTGAGGCCATATATTTTTTGTTACTGTGCCTCATCACCAGGGATTTTGGTTTTCTCGGTTTAAAAATTGCAAATTCTTCAATTAACCCCTCTCCCAATTTATTTGATTAAAAAAAAAACAACAAATCCATGTGTTTCTACAATTAAAACGAAACACCACTACATATCTATATATACATGTGTGTGTGTATCTATATAGATATATATATATATAGAGAGAGAGATTGATATAGATGTGTGTGTATGTGTATAGATCTAGATAGATATCTGGATATAGATCTCTCTCTATATATGTGTGTGTCTAGGTATCAGTTGAACACAATGTTTTACTGATACATTTACCATCTTAAAGCAATTTGGAAGCCTGTCAGTGCCTCAATCACTGTAATAAAATGAATTCTAAATACCTATATATTTTGGTATTTGATTTTTTTTTTTTCTTTTTATCATGGAAAATCAGAGCTCCCCCTGCCCCCTCCGCTCAAGCTGTAGCTGTCCCCCCTGCTGCTTTGTGGTGCTGAGGAGCCCTGATATGCTGGTGCCCTGCCATTGCCCCTCACTCCCAATCCACAGTCCCCAGGCCCTGCCAGTGCTTCTCTTTCCCAACCCACAGCCCCCTAACCCCACAGCCCTACTACTGCCCCTCACTCTTGATCCACACCCTCTGTTCCTGCTGGTGCCCCTCATTCCTGACCTGCATTCCCCCATTTCCCCAGGTGCCCCTCACTCCCAGCCCACAGCCCCCTGGCCCTGCTGGTGTCCCTCACCCACAACTTACAGTCCCTCACCCCTCCCAGCCCTGCTGGTGCCCCTTACTTGTGACCTGCAGAGGGGGCCCCCAGCTGCCAGGGCTATGGGATCAGGGCCAGGGCCTGCAGACCCCTCCACTCCCAGCAGTGCCCAAGCCCAGCTGCTGCATGTGGGAGGTGGCAGCTGCTGTGGCCAGAGTGGAGTGCAGAGCCTGGCCTCCCCTCTTTCCCCCACCCTGCAGGTGACCGGGGTGGGGGCAGGCTGCCCATTGCAGGCTTGGGGTTCCCCACCCTGCTGCCCTCTCCCTGGGGGTCTTCACAGCTCAGTGGGTGGGACCCAGCACAGGAGGGCAGAGAGGCTTGATGCTGCTGCCACCACCGCTGGGAGCCCCACACTGCCATGGTGAGGCACCCCCTGCCTGCCTGGCAGCAGTGGGGACAGCAGCACAGAGTTGCACCCCCTGCTGCTGCTGGGTGGGCAGGGGGTGCCTTGCTATGGTGGCACAGCTGGTGTAGGACTCCCGGGAATGGTGACAGCAGCATCGAGCCTCCCCGCCTCACTCCACCCTCTTGCACAGAGTCCTGCCAGCACCTGGGACCCATTTTCTCCTTTAAAATCCACATTTTTTTGCCACGAATGGAAAACATGGATACCTGCTCATGACCTCAACCATCATTGGCTTCATTTCTGTCCTGTAACAATTTTGTTACGTTTCTGTCTGCAAAGCCTCTGACGTGTGTCGGGGCCGAGGGGCTGTGGCCAGCAGCCCGGGCACATGGGCCGGGGAAAGTCGACACGGCGAACTACAATTAGGCAGTGACGCGTGGAAGTTGATTAAAGATTGGTTTACTTACACCATAGATGGTCGGGCAGGAAAACTTGCTTGGTTACAGTTGTAGACAGAAGAAAAGAAGAAAAACTCGAACGATGAGAGCTCTTTAAACCGATACGAGAGTCCGTGTTGTGACTCTCAACAAGCGCGCAGGGCAGGGGTACATCAAGGATCGTCCAGTGACGGGGAGAGACTCTTGATGGGTGATCAAACCACCGGTCGGCTCCGAGACACGCGCAGAGTTTGCCACGTGGCCCAGAGTTCTCCACAAGATGGATGCGGAGTCCCCCTAAATGAGGTCCTCCCCGGAGATCTCCCACTTGGGCGGAAACGGCTCAAGCCTCTTATATGGCTAGCAAGCCAATCACTAGCCGCCACGTGGGAATAATTTAGAAACAGCCAATAATGGGGAATAAATTTGCATGCGAGCGGCGGGAACTCCTTTGCACCGGGGTTTTCTCTCTGCAGCTGAGAATTGCACCGTGCAAAGAAAGCTCCATGTGGCGGGAAATAATTCTGCAGTGCTGAAGCGCACACACAATCATTGGGTAACGACAACATGTTTTCCCTTTTCTTTTTCCTGTGCAAAGGATGATAGTATAGTGCACAGAACTGCTGGTCAGGAGATTTGAATTCCACTCCTTATTTATCCACAAGTGCGGCACAGGGCAAGTCACTAAGTGCTGTTCTACAGTTTTTGTGCCTCTATACCAGTGGTTTTTAATCTTTTTTTCACTTGCGGACCCCTTTGGAAATTTTGAATGGAGGTGCCAGACCCCCTTGAATTGTAAGTGTGGGTAGTCACATACTTTTGATCATAGTCGTCTTTTGCGGACCCCTTAGACAGTCCATGGACCCCAAGGTTGAAAACCACTGCTCTATGCTATATTTGTTCAGAAACCGATGGTTTAGGCAGGTATATTTAGAGCTATGAAATCTGCTTGTGGACATTCTAGCCCCTGTCTGCACCTGAGGTTCCCCGTCTATAGATATGGGATAATGTCTGCTTCACTTTGGAAGTTGTGAAGCTTATTATATGACCCTGAGATCTGTGGTGTCTAATTGCAGATTATTATTTTTCATGATTTTGACTGTAAAGTAATTACAAAATAAATTGCAGCAATGCTTCACAGAAAGTCATGGGAGGTACACAATCATCTACTAATCACACTTGATAACTTGTATATCTATACAAATATATTTTGCTATTTTTCAGACATCTGCTAGTGAATCCCAGGGACCGCCGTGTTGTGATCGTGGAATCTGTGCTGTGCCCCTCACACTTCAGAGACACGCTCACCAGAGTTCTGTTCAGGCACTTTGAGGTTTGTGCTTTACATAATTATCAAAGTTCATTGCCTTTATTGGTTATTTATCAGATATCTTGAAGGATGTTGGTAATGCTTCAAGCATTCACTACGGTGCCAGACACATGAGAGGAAGTGGTCAAAGAAATGAGGATAATAGCAAAGGGCTAGGAAAGAGATGAGAGAGAAGAGATAGATAAGGTGGGGAAATGCCCTTGAAGGCAGGATTTTGATCAGTTCTGAATCTTTATGGCAGCTACCAAAAAAGCAGATAATAGCAACAGTCCATCAATTGTTTTTTTTATTTTTGGCAACAAATAGCTCTCGTCATCCCATTTTTGACAGACTCAATAATACCTATTGAGCACTGTCAGCAGCTTTGAGTCTATATTTAAAACTTCTTAGTGCTCTCTCAGCAAAATTCACAACTCCTTTGCCATAAGTCGATATCCTTGCCAAACTCTTGACCTGACCCCTGGCTGTACTTATTTAGATAAGAACTTACCTGAAATTTGTTCTGACCTCCACATAATAAATCTTTTTGATAGATCAGACTCTCTGTTTATCAACCTTATTCTTATTCTAGTTCTAATAGGAAACACAGTGCAAAGGTATGCCATAATTTTTCCATTCAGATAGATTAAGGTGCGTTTTTTTTTTTTTTAATCAAAGGCCATGCAGCCTACTATTTTGTCTTCCCAACCTAACTTCATAACTAATCTTAAACTATCATATACTGTCTCGGAATAATGCCTTCTCAGTATACATAAAGTAATTTTGATGTTACACACTTCATAAGCAGTTTGAATGGATTTTATATCATCTTTGAGAAAAGCAGAGGAGAAAGAAAGAAAGAAATATCTTTTCATTGCTTTGCAATAGGATGATGACAATTAATGTAGCCTTTATACATTATTCAAAGGGATGGCTAAAGGGAGGGGAAGGTTTTGCTTTGATTTTCTGAGACCTGTTTTCCTGCTAACGAACTGGCTGATAGACATGGAAAATGATCCACACATTTTTGTACGATTGCCATTTGATGGGGTATGAATAACCTTGACATGTGATACAAGGTCAGCATTTATAAGTGTATGTTGTGATCCAGTTATCTGTAATGTTGCCAGTAGGTACGAGCTTTGTGGACGTACAGTGTGCTGTTAACAGCACTTGCCATTTAAATCATGCCAGTAGCACAAGACATTGCCAAATCCTATTGATTTCTATATCAAAGGTGTTGATTAAGCATACTGGCAGTAACCTGGCTCAGCTGTTCTCACCTTATTAAGGCTTGTAGCCTTGTTATTCATAATACTGGCAGACACAATGTATACAGGCCACTTACCCTGTGTCAGTGCCTTGCAGTGCACCAGAGCCTGTATAATCACTGGAGCAGCAAATATGGCTGGGAAAGGAAAAGCATTCAGCCTCAGGGCTTGCAGGATTAGCCAAGCACCATGTAGAGATTTTCTGGCTGCCAAATGAACCTGCTGGACGCAGTTGGCATTCTCCCTACAGTCCAGAATGGGGATTGAATGTGTGTTTTATTGAATTCTTGGAGGCTTGGGGTTCTAGTCTAGATATATAGTCACAGCTACTTCCACATGATCACTTAGATCTCCTTCCTTGCTACCTATATTGTACCATGAAGCCACTGGCAAAGAGAGCTGTTCCATTTGCTCTGTAACCTTCTTGGACTTCCAATCAGTTTGTGTGCTGCTTGCTGCCACTGACCACACCTCAAAACCAGTATGCAGTTTGCCTTCTTTATTCTTACTTACAGATTTTGACAGTGTTTTTTCAAGTCCCGTTTAGTTTTTTTCATGGTACCCCTTCTGGTGACAATATAAGAATTTATAATTGGGACCTCGGATAAGTTCCATACTCAGAACTTATTTTTCTTACAAGGTGGTGCTGTGGTTCAGTATTAGTAGGCGCATATGTGCACATAATGTAGCAGTGAATATTCTGGCAAAGGATTTTAGCATCCAGCTGCATTTTGTTGGGCATTGTCACACTAGATCAAATCCTGAATTAATAATAGGCTGCTCGTTATGTGATTGTTCAGTTTTTCCTTTCACTATGAATTTGGGGAGAAGCGGCTGTTCTAAACATTCAGATTTTTTTTCACTGTACTTTAATCGTTTTGTTCTCATTACAGGTTCCTTCTGTGTTGTTTGCTCCAAGTCATCTGATGTCTCTCTTGACACTCGGTATTAATTCTGCTATGGTTTTAGACTGTGGATACGCAGAAAGTCTGGTGCTGCCTGTATCCTTTGATAATAATCCAGAAACAAAATTGTCATTACAAAAGCTATAACCACAAGTAAAATTTCTATCATGGATTTAAAATGTGTGGGGAGAAAAAGAAATAGCCAGGCCAATAAGCCAGCTTGGAACATAGGATTCTGGCTCTGTGGTAGAGTTTGGTCTGTCCTCATCCTGATGTGCTAAGAACGCCATAGACCTCTGACCAGGGAGAAGCATGAATAAGAACAGGCATAATCCATTTCTCATACCAGAAACTAAAATTATGGACAAAATCATCTAGTGGAAATATTTATAACTGATAAATGACAATATGAAGAAAATGCCTTCAGTGCTAGTGCCTTCATGCAGAAAAAACACCCATTACAGAATAGTCTGATTTCCTCAGCTGCTTCTAGATATATGAAGGAATCCCTATTTTGAATTGCTGGGGTGCCCTTCCCCTGGGAGGAAAGGCTATTCACAAGTAAGTTGACAATTATGCATTTCAGGGCAATTCTGTCAGTTGATTGTGACCATTATTTTTTGATCAGCAAATGTTTGTTATGAGCAGGATTAAGTATTAGTGTAACCTCCTTGGTGAGACTATTGCATTTTAAAGGTGTAAAATGTTTAGCTGCTATGGCTGCAATGGGAACTAGAAATAACAGGTTGGAAGCTGAATGGGAAACCAGAGGGAATAAATACTGCAATTATCAGTACGGTGCAAAGACATTGGATGGATACAGCATGTTTAACTGTTCTTTATTATTTTTTTAATTTACAACATTTTAGGGAGCTGGCTTATCAGTTATTGGAGCAGTGCACTGTGGACACAGGATTAGCTAAAGGACAAAAACTCCCATCAGTAATGGGTAAGATTCACTTTTAATGTAATGCAAATGCATTTTTTTATAACCCTAGTGGGGAAGGTGAGTTAATCCCCTTGCCTCTTTTGCTGAGAACATCAGACAGAATAATTTAGTGTTTCTTCATCAAGTCTAGCATGCTCCTACTTGCATGGTTCCTCTTCCCATTAATTAATTCCCCATTAATAAATTAACGAGTCTGGTTTGTTATGAATGTAACATTCATAGCAGTTAGCTTGTTGGAAGTAAAAGCTGTCTCTGGAAAAGCTCCGTAGTAGTTGCCTGTTATATTTTCAATGAGAACAACATATTACCCTTTTCACATAAACCCTTTTTTTTTGTTAGAAACCTTTTGAAGCTGTCATCAAAATGCTGTTTCTGCATTTTTGTACTACATTCAATTTTCCAAGTATTGGTTTGATTCTGCAAGTTCTATTTCCACTTATTCAAGTGCTTTTGTTCTAAATTATTTCCTGTATTTCAGGCTCTGTTCCAGAAGACATAGTAGAGGATATAAAAGGTAAAGTTTCCGACTTCGTGCAACCATAGTTTGCATCTTCTCCACAGATCAGTTTAACAATGTGTAGTGCCTTGCTGCTGAACGTGTAGGTTTTTATTTTATATTCCTGTCCATTTTCTTTCATTCCTGAGCAGAGGAACTTGGAGCGCTGTCTATAGTGTAGATGCTCGGGCTGTTGTATTTCATCGGTCTTTATAAATTTAGACTTGAGGGTTTGAATCCTGCTATAGCTTAGTGTTTTATGCTGCATTTGTGCATAAACTGTGAGCACTAAATTATTTTTGTGTACCCATCCGTTAGTAGTTTAGGTTAATTTAATGTTGGACTTCTTAAATACTAATAGTTTGATTGATTTTTTTTTTTTTTCCCCCCCTGCCTCCCCCCACCCCCCAATGGCTATTTATAGACTGTACAATGGACACATTTACATGGGATTTATAGCACTAGCAAATTTAGCTTCTACAAACTGAGCAAGCATGGATACGTTAACTTTCTATTGTTTCTGGGCACAAAGACAACTGTTAAGAATTTCTGACTTCTGGATTAAAAGATCAAGTTAGTTTTTGTGCATAAATGGTTTAAGAAGGCAAGTTCTATTTGCCACATAATACACTAATTTCCCCAAAATGGAAAATAAAGAGTAAAAGGAGTTTAAAATATTGGGAAACATTCAGTGATGAATAGATTACAAATTGGACCTGTTTTCAGTACAAAATGCTACCTAGCATTTCATGTGTTGTATGTTTTACAGTTCATTCAATAGAAAATAAAAATGAGTGAACTAACTCATAGGAGACCTTTTTAACAGGAGAAATAGTACGTACTCCTTGGGCCAAGCTAGGGAGGAAAATCCCATGTCAAGGGCAAAGTAACTTGGTACCTTAAAGATACCATTTCTAAATGTTGTTAATATTTTATCAGCCATGAAAATGAATTTATTGAATTCTAGACTCAAATGTAGCTTTGAGTAGTTGGCTGTTTTCATAGGGTTTGTTTTTTATAACCTGGTATATTATTATTACTTGGTAGAATGGTTCTTTGTGTTTCTGTTAAAGTGTTTTTATTAATGGAGGAATTGCATTACAGGATTATTTATCAGGATCTGGTGTAATTATGCACCCAGCTGCTGTGATGTATATAGACTCTGACCCTTTTGTTAATGTCCCATGGAGAAAAGCCCCTCTGGAGTTTGAGGATAGATTTGTGCCACTAATAACATCACGTGGCAACAGATCATTAAAATCTGGCAGCATCTCATTTAAAATGAAGCAGTAAGACTGGAATTGCTGATTCATATTCAGTATGCTATTTCTGCCACCCTGTGGCATAGTTCTTAACGGCCCTCAGACTTTAATAGATTGAAAAAGAAAATTCTGTTTCTCTCAGCATGATTATGGTATGAGCATTATTTCATTCGGACTACTTCATCCTAGCTGGAGTGTGACCTTGATTAAAGGTACTGTCACAGTTCTTCAGAACCAAAAAGTAGTACCTTGCACACGTGGGAATCTGGAATTTGTAACTAAATAAAATCCAAGTAGTAGAAGTCGTAACCTATGTAAGAGAAGCAACTTGATGGTAATGGGAAAGTTGGGAAAACAAAACAGAGTCCAGTTCTCTCTCTTTTTTAATAAAGTACGCACCTGTTTCGTGAGTGACCTCCAGCGAGGACTGAAAATCCAAGCAGCAAAGTTCAACATTGATGGCAGCGCTGAGGTAGGTAGAGAATAAATGACCTCTTTAAAGCAGAAGAAGAGCTATTTTTTCCACTTCTGAAATAATGTGCGTTGTTTTTAGCGTCCTTCACCACCTCCAGATGTGGACTACCCTTTAGATGGAGAGAAGATTCTGCATGTCGTTGGGTCTATCAGGTTAGAAATAAAATAGCTGAGAATGCATTATTATTAATATTATCGCAGGGATGCCCAGAAGTGCCAGTACGTTAAGAAATCATTAAAATTAAGGTTGAGGTTTTGTCAGTGAAACTGCATAATTCTGTAGCATTTGTCTTCATGCATGTGGGTTTGCAGCATGCACTTGTTCGAAGGGTGCAGCCTCTAATTAATCCACAGTTTAGGGGTGTTCGATGACGAGCCATTTGCACTTTGATTTTGTGGCTTAATGTCCCTCAGTCTTTTCGATGTAATAGCACTCTTATTGTGAATAGCCCTTACTTGTTGGGCCTCCTGGAACCCCAGGCACAGAGCAGAGCCCCTTGTTCTGGGTGCCCTGCAAACCAGTAACAAAAAGCATGTCCCTGCCTCAGAGAGTCGACAGTCTAACAAGAGAGATGGGAGTTTGAGGACAGCTAAACAAGGGGAGAGCAAGTAGATGACAAGACATGTTGGTACCTTGCTTAACACTCCTCGCTTTTTGTCTTTCAAACAGAGACTCGGTTGTTGAAATGCTGTTTGAGCAGGATAATGAAGAGCAATCAGTTGCAACGCTAATCCTGGATTCTCTTATTCAGGTATTTCCACAAAATAATTAGGCTCACAAATTGCTGTAGCCTTATGTAGATCCTGGCCTATCAGACACTTAAGCTCTCAAGTAGTTCTGCTAATTGCAAGTGTGACTTAGGTGGATAAGTCAGTTCTCTGCCTTAGGCATACAGTTAGTTTAAAAACTAACGCATGTAGTGGATATTTGCTCAATGCTGAATGGCATTGATATCAGCCTCCTCTTTAAGAGGTTCGCTTGGGCTAGAGATTGTCTGTTCTGCAGGCAGCTGCTTTAATGTGTAGAGATACCTCAGCTGGCTTTGAACAGCCTAGCTTGAGTACAAGCCAACTGCAGCAGCACAGACCTCTGCTGCTGCCGCTAGACTGCCACCAATGCTGGAGCTGGCTTGTGTGAAGCTAGTTTAGGTAATGCCTCACACCAGCCTGAAGCCTGCAGTGTAAATGCCCTTAGAAATTCTCTTGGCACATCATACTTCATAAGAAGCAACGTTTTTGTGCAATTAAAGGGAAAACGGGCTGTGAGGTAGAAATGCTCCATCTCTTGTATAATTTTTAAAGTTGCTTGTCTGCAGTTATAAATACGTTTGAATCAGTTGGTAGATGAGGAATCATTTATGAGGGCAGTTCATTTGGGTATTCCAGACTTACAAGGCTTCATCAGGTTAGGGCCTCAATATGATCAACTTTTGAGTCTCTAGATTTTGGCCTAAGGCAGAGATGTCTAGGTGGTGGCCTGTAGGCTATGTGTGGTCCATGAAGCAGTAAATTACAGCTTATGGAGCTGCTGGGTTGGTGTGGCTCTGGAACATGGGGTGAATGCCACTATTGCTTGTCCCCCACCCCACTCCGTTGCCTGTTGCTGAACTCTGGGGTTTGGATCACCACTGAAAAGGGAGGTGCATGGCAGCAGAGTTGACAGCCCAGGTTCTAGAGCTGTGCCAGCGGACTGCTGCACTGCCACTGGAAGGGAGTCATCTGGCCTTTGAGAAGCCCTGTAGACTCGATCTGGTCCACAGGGCCACAGTATCTTGTGATGATGTCCTGGCCTGGAGGGTGATGCAAAGTGAATGCTCTCAGTCCCCTGGGGCAGTGGTTCTCAGTCTTTTGCATCTTATGTCCCACTACTGGCAACACGTAGGGGGTGCATGCATGTGCAAATGCATCCCCTGAGTGTGGTGGTGCACCCCCTATGAAAAGGCACCACCAGCACTGTTGCTGGCACTTGCAGGCAGACGCCACTTGCCCGCCGTGCGCATGCGCGCGCCGCCGCCCCCCCCCCAACACTGCCAGTGGTATTGGCAGGCGGTCAGAGATTGCTGCTGGCCATCGCCAACGCTGCCCTGGTCAGCGCTTGCCACCCCCCGCTGCCGACAGCGCTGGTGGTGTCTGCAGGAGGGCCACGGTTACTGCCCCCATGCTCCTGCTGCCACCATGCCCCCCCAGCTGCTGGGGACATGTGTCATTCATGTATCCCACCAACCATTTTGTCAAAAAACCCTAGTCCCACCATGATAAAAGCAAAACCCCACTTTTTCCAAGAAGTGCATTTGTACATTTACATGCATTCTAGTATTATATTAATCATTAACGGCAATTTTCAAATGAGTCGAAGTCCTACCTACATAACCTTCGTATCCTACCCCACTGGTTGAGAAACACTGCCTTAGGGGATTCCCTTTAGCCATAGCAAACCGTGGTGTTGAAAGGCACGCTGAGATCTGTCCCATCCACTTCTTGCTGGAGGAGATGATCCTTGCAGCGTGGGACTGTGTGTGGGGTGGAGGAGGGATCTGGGTAGATAAGGGGATTAGGAAATCCAGCCCTTTGTTAACAGAAATTTAGCACTGTGGCTCAGTGCTGAACTACTAACAACCTTGTCTGCATAGCTTCATTTAACCGTTCCTTGCTTCCCTTGGGTACCAGTGCCCCATAGACACCAGGAAGCAGTTGGCTGAGAACTTGGTCGTTATTGGAGGCACCGCTATGCTGCCAGGATTCCTGCATAGATTAATGGCTGAAATTAGGTACCTGGTGGATAAGCCAAAATACAAAGAAGCACTTGCCACAAAGACCTTCCGAATTCACACTCCACCTGCCAAACCCAACTGTGTGGCGTGGCTGGGAGGTAAGGAGGAAACTAACGCTGATCAGTGGGCTGAAGGGAAAATTAAGCCTTGAAAAGTGGGCTTTGAAATGAGCAAACGATCACAAGTCTTTTAAATGCTTTCAAAGTTACCCGTTGTACCTGAGTTCTCTGGAGTTGTTGTACCCTCATGTCAAAGTCCTGAAGAGCAAAGCTCCCTCTTGACTTCTGGAGGGCAGGAGATTTGCATTGCTAACAGTATCATAACATGTCAGCTCATCAAGTGGTAACATCCAATGGCTGCCACGCGAGGGCAGCGATAAAGTAACTCTTCAAAGCTCCCACCTGCTGGAGTAACTGTATATTTCCTTCCAAGGGAGGGGAGAAAGGCAAATCAAAGGAAAATTTGCCTGTCTTGGGCTAATCAAAGACTCCAACATACCACACAACTTGTGTTTGCAACATACACAGAGTATTCAGGCCACAAGTTGGATTTTGGATGCTATCTTACGACTTGGTAATCAAATTAGCAAATTGAGAGGTGTTTGCAGCATTTGCAGTTTAGTGTGCTCAGACAAAAATGTTGTTTTAATAATTTGGATGCTTCAGCTAATAAACTGATTTTATATAGTAGAGTAGAGAATAAGGATGTGGGCAGACATATCGTCTGACACTGATGTAATGGTTACAAATGGAGCCAAACAAACTGTACTTCAATCCTGTGTCATTCAGAATTTAAAGCAACTTGGCTCACTTACATCACTATGGGAGCCTGCAGATCATAACAGTTAAAGCAGAAGAACTGAACACCAATTCCCCCACACTTTAAGGGGTTGAAAGTTTTATGTCTATCTATAGAGAGACAAAATGTGGACATAAATGTACGCTTTATTTCCTCCTGTTGTGGTGTTAAATATCTATAAAAATCATTAATTAAGGCCTGGTTGGGGTATAGAGCCAGTGGAACGAAATGTGTTCATTATGATGGTACCAGCTGTCTCCACTTCCTGATGAGACATACCGGTTGACTCATGCAGTGGTTTTCAACCTAACATGGATGGCCAGTCCCAACCCGGTGCCCCTCACTCCTGACCCAGGGTGTGGGGCACGAGGGGGATGAGTGGGATACAAGGGGCCCCAAGCAGCCCCTCGCAGGCTGGAACTCTGCCAGCCTGCAAGGGAAAAGCCACGGTTGCCCATGTTTTTCTTCTTCGAAGGAGAATCCATTTTTAAGATTTGTTCGTAACCCTTTCATATATTCCTGCACCCTGCTGTTTTGAGAAACGCTGAACTAATGTATACTGACTTCTCTGTGGCCAGTGCAAACTTACCCTCATGAATATGTGACATACTTGCACTTACTTACAGCGCTGGGTGTCTGGGGAAAGTTTATTAACCTGAGAAAAGGAGATACCTGTGGAAGCACTTGGAGATTGATTGGGATTGGGCCACAGGCGTGTCTGCGCTCCATGTGGTTATGCCTGTAATAAAGGCACCTTGCCTCCACAGGGATCTGAACTGAGAGGGTCAGGTGCCAAGGAGCCCTGTACAGTGAATGAGGAGATCTTGTGCTTCCCAAGGGCCATCTCAAGCATCTACCATTAAGCAGGGAGGCACCTGTGGCCAGCCAGTAGGAACTGCTAGGCACAGCAATGTGTCTGAATTCCTGCGTCTACCTCAGGGCTTTGAGGAAGTAAGCTCCGAGATCCAGATCACTCGGAGGGACAGTGCCTGCCTGCACCACAATGCATTGAGTCCAGTTTAAAGCACGGTATCCATCATTCCTTCTTGAACAAATGATGATGATGATGGTGCCCACTTCTGTCCAACAGCGTAGCAGCAAGGAGACTTCCCTAGGAAACCAGAGACCTTGGACTGTAGGCCCTTCTGACTCTGAAGGGACTGAGACTTGCATCTTTGAGCTCCTAGGAGAATGCCCTTGTCACCAAGTTATGGGCCTTCCTGCCTGGCTGCTCATTTAGCCGGCAACAAAGCCCAGGTGAATTCAAGATGTGAGTAAGCAAACAATTCTACTAGTCTAGAAGGAGGCAGACACAGACTTGGCATTCACAAAGGTTTCTCGGCTGATCTGTTGTAACTGCGTAGTCTGTCCACATCTACCATGCCATAAGTGAAGCTGGACCCACAATGGTTTGCCGCATATAAAACAAGTGATGAATTAATTGCGATTTAGTTTCTGTTCTGCCAAGGGGTATAGCACATAAGAAACAGTTGCATTGGATTCAGCTGGACCATGGGAGATTTCTCTCCCACCCCCTTTTCAATCAGTATAATTATTTCATGTGTCTGTGCCAGTGGTTCTCAATCGGGTGCTGCGAGAGCACCTCAAGTGCTGCAACACAGGCACCACTGCTGTGGCCAGGTAAAAGTGCGTGCAGGGCTGGGGCACGCCCATGCTTCTCCTGCGTTACAGTTCTCTGATGAGCCTAAAGCTGGCAGGAGAGCTACTTTTGTGCTGCAGCCCTCCCTCCACACCCCCACATACGTTCACTCCTCCCGGAAGCAGAAGTACGTGGGACAGTTGCACCTGCCCATGCGTCTTTGCTTCCAGGAGCCCCTGTGCAGGTTTGGAGCAGGAAGGGCTGTGGCAGCAGCTGTCAGTCCTGCTTGCTTTAGGCTTGTTGAATAACCCTAGTGCAGGCTGAGCGTGCATACATGCTGTGCCCCTTCCTGGTCTGGCCGTGCATGAGTCACACGGAGCACCTTCACCTGGCTGCATTGGCAGCCGCGGCGTCCAGTTGAGAATCACTGAGGTAAACTGAAGCAGCACAACGGTGCCTCTGAACCGAGGATGCTGCCGCATTCAAAACGATGGTGGAGGGATGCCTGCCATTTAAGAAGCTTGAGAGCCACTCTTCTGTGCCTTTAATCACTTAAGACGGGTGTGGGCTGAAGCGAGCTTGGGTGAGCTACAACATATGTTTAAAAAAGGGTATTTTCAGCCTTTTGTCTTTCCTTTGGGCATCTTGAAATGGCTGAGATTTATGAGGCTGGCTGGGGAGGAGTCAATATGGCAAACCAACACCAAGTGTCTTTTTTTTGTCAACAACGCAGCAGCCATCTTTGGAGCACTTCAAGACATCCTCGGAAGCCGCTCGGTGTCCAAGGAATATTATAGCCAGACGGGCCGCATCCCGGACTGGTGCTGCCTCAACAACCCTCCTTTGGAAATGATGTTTGACGTCGGCAAAACACCACCGCCGTTGATGAAGAGGGCTTTCTCCACAGAGAAATAAGTGTCTAAGCACTACACTGGTTTTCCTTTGACTGTTTCAAGTGCATGTAACAATGTTGCTCTTCATATGTTAGGTAAATTATGTAACACTTTCAAATGAATGACACCTGTGTAGCTTGGGAGCGTGGTGCTGGGAAGGGCCACGCTGCAGATGGATCCAGCCACGTCTAGTCGAAAAACAGATGGGGTACTCTGCTTGTCTCTTTCTAGGGAGCACATATAACTGGCAAAAGTTGTTACCAAGTCATCTGGCCTGTTTATATGTACAGTAGATGAAATTAGGAGGCTTCGTTTTTACTTTTAAATCAGAAGAATAGAGGAAACTCTGTTACCAGAAACATCTGTTGAATTTTCTCCGCCAGACTGTGTGTGTCCACGTTAACAAACAGTTGGCTCAAAGATGCATTAAAATATCTTCTGAAACCAGTTTTGTGATCACAAGGTCTGTGGAAAGACATCAAGGGCTAGGCCTAAAATTCCTATTTTCAGTGATTTGCTTCTGCCAGACACTGTCACATGCATTGTCACTCGAACCTACCTGCTAAAAACTTTTTAACTGAACATTTAGAAATTATAAAGGAGAAGCTTAATAATGGAACTTCTCTCCCCACTTCCAATAAAATGGAAACTTCCTCTGGCATTTTTTAAACACGTCCTCCTATAGCAGTAAGTATGAAATACAAATGCAAAATTAATCTCTATGGTAACTGTTGTACAATAGCTACTAATATTCAGACCAAAAACAATAAAATGCTTCAGATTCGTTAAGAGGGACCCAAGTGACCATTATTTTTGGCTTCTGCAGTCCAGTTTGTTTTATAACTGGCAGTGGGATATTCCATTTTCATTGCATGTCCCCACAAACCTTGTAACAGTCGGAGATTTTGGGCATCTCTACTGTACTTTAATTACTCCAAAGATCTGTTGTTTCATAAATTCAATCTTAAAACTCAATCTTGTATCTGGATATGCACAGCATGCTATTGTGGCACTTAAAGTAGATGTAGTGTTACAGTATGTAGGTGTGTGAAATACTGGGGCCAGTTCTGGTGTTCCCACCAAAAAAGAGCCTGAAAACTTGGGTGGTGTACAGAAAGTAGTTGAGGGATGGAAAAAATGCCTTAAAAAGCAAGAGGCAACTTGTTTGCAAGGTGTAAGCCCTTTTTAAAGGGAGAACCCAGCAGAGGAAGGTGCAGCAAAACCCAATGGGAAGGCAAACCGAAGTAAGATATTCTATTGGGAAATAAGACAGATTTTTTGCACGGGAGTCTATTAACCAGCAGATGCTCGGTGAGAACTAGGCAGACACGGCGGAGCTGCAGGCGCTGGACTGTTGCCCGAAGCAGAAGTGAGCCTTCCTGTGAGTCGCTGCCTTGAAACAAAGACGGAGAAAGTGGGCGAGGGCAAAGGGACTCGGAGCTCGAGTGCCAGGGAGATTTGGGCAGCCGGACTCTCCCCGACACGGGGCAGCACGGTGGTCACTGCTCTGCGGGGAGACAGGCCCCGAGGCCCACCTGCGAAGGCTGCGCTGGGGGATGGGGATGCTGCTGCCCCATGGGCCCTGGATGGCAGCAGAGGCTGGGCCTGATGCTCTGACGGCCTCTTCTGGCTTTCAAGGCTGTGCAAAACCCTACTGGAACGGACCCCTCGCTACAAGCATTACGGCTCGCTCAGCCGCAGCTGCTGGGGAGTCGCAGGCACTTCAACGCCAGCCTCTGCAGGCC